GACCGTTGGGGGCGGGGTGTGTGGCCTTATGACACACTTCTGGTGATGTCAGGGGGTGTGGCCTTATGACACACTTCCGGTGATGTCAGGGGGTGTGGCCTTATGACACACTTCCGGTGATGTCAGGGTGTGTGGCATATGCTAATGAGTTATGCTAATGAGTTCCCCTAGCTCTTTTTCTACAAAATGACCCCTGCTTATGACTATCTAGTGAAGAAAAAAGCTTGTATTACTGTACCTCACATGATTATCTTCTTCATTATTTTTAACTGCCTGGAAACATACACCAATCTGAGCTACTCCAAAAGGCAGCCTCTTGTTTACCAATTCCAGGCAATTAACATATTGCTCTAATGCACCTGTCAAAGAAGAAAAATTGGCTTCACCATTTCTGGCTAATATTACAATTTTAATGGATTACGGTAATAAAATTCCAGTTTAGGAGAGAAAAGAGGAAACCAAACACAAGCAGCCTCAGGGACACAGACAGAAATGCACGGCTTTTCTTTTTTTACACAACAAACTTTAATTACAATTGTCTAGTTATACTACGTCCAGGTTACCATTATGAATTACACTAAGTGTTGAAACATTTGCAGTGCCTACACTTACAGAATAGTCAAGAATCACACTTGTTTTAGCCTTCTTCACATTTTTTTACTGAAAGTTCTCAAAATAAGAATAGGTGGTAACATAGCCATACACCCATTTAGTTCACCCATTTAGAAGGCTTAGAATTTCACAAGTTAGTATACTACCAAAACAGCTTATCTACAACGGTGGCACTTTAAGGTCTTAAATGGAAAAAAGCAGGGCTATTTTTGGGCAGGAACACACAGGAACGGAGTTCCGGCTGGCTTCCAAGTTGGCCACGCCCAGCAAGGACTCATTAGCATAATAGGCCACACCCAACACCAGAAACTGATTAGAATTGGCTACATTAGGGGTGTGTGGCCTAACATGCAAAGGAGTTCCTGCTACAAAAAAGCCCTGGGTTTTGACAACAAGCAAGGTAAACAGAATAAGAAGCAAAAGGTGGGTGTGGCTGGATGAGCACACTTCTGGTAACATGGGGGTGTGGCCTAATATGCTAATACATTTCTGCTGTTGGGTGGGGCCTGTTATGCTAATGAGTTCCTGTTGGGCTTTTTCTACAAAAAAAGCCCTGGAAAAAAGGTAGCTCAGCTCAACTGAACTCGACTTCACTGAAGTGAAAATTGCAGGACTGCCACAGCACCCATACACTAACAGACAATTCTGCTGGAAAGAACCATAATAATTACTCATGAACAAGCCTTTTAAGTGCTACAACCTTGACAGTGTTGGTAGTATAGGAAACCCCCATGTAGACACTCTGTTGCCACTGTGAATGCCTCTGCATTTGCAGCCGCAATGGCTTCACAACAGAGAACTGTTGCTGTTTAGGTAGTCTAATAACCTCAAAAACTGAAACTATATCAAGATTATTCAAGAAGTATATGGGCAGGAGTATACTTGCCTGATTCTTGAACAATCTTGATACTGTTTTGATATTTGAAGTTATTAGGCTGTATCTAGACACAGAGATTCTCCACCTCCAGGACGCCTGAGGTTAAAGTGGACCAGAAGGAGAAGAGATAGTAATTAGTCACTTCTCCCATTATGCCTGGATCCAGCTCCACCTGAGAACTGTCATCTGTACAGAAAGAGAAATGCCTTGCTCAAGAAGACACCACCAAGGTGCCAAGCACCTTTTATGTTATACTATCATTGGTATTTGAATTAGTTACTACTATAAGCTAATTTTTGACTGAAAAGTGGCATAAAGGTAAAGGTTCCCTTGCTCGAAAGCCAGTCGAATCCGACTCTAGGGTTGCGGTGCTCATCTCCGTTTCAAAGCCGAAGAACCAGCGCTGTCCGAAGACGTTTCCGTGGTCATGTGGCCGGCATGACTAAACACCAAGGCGCATGGAATGCTGTTATCTTCCCACTGAAGTGGTACCTATTTATCTACTTGCAATTTCTTGCTTTCAAACTGCTAGGTTGGCAGGAGCTGGGACCAGAGACGGGAGCTCACTCTGTCATGCAACACCTGGGTCTCGAACTGCTGAACTACCGACCTTCCATAGCCTGCAGTTCAGCGTCTTAACCACTTGAGCCACCGCAGCTCCAAAAAGTGGCATAAAAACACAAAAAACAAGAAAGAGCATGTTATTGTTTTAAAGCTTAAAACTGACCATGAAGAAGGCTGCCCCGCAGCGTCCCAGACACCTTCAGCATCTTCTTCAAAGAGACCAACAGTTCTTGCTTGCTCAGGTCCTCATTCTCTAATACTCCCCAAAAGGTTTCTGAAGGCACCACTCTCAAGTTCTCCCCTAGTGGTGCCTCAACGGCCTCTGAAGAGTCATGTACTGGGTTTTCAACTGCAAACACCTGCTCCCTAAACACAACAGTGGTCTCCCACCACTGAGCAGCCAAGTTCTTCCTCAGCTCCACCCCCAGAGGCCCAAAGCCCGGGTGGCCTCCCTTCCGGTACGAGTCCCAGGTGCGCTGCTGGGCTGCCTCCCGCCTTCTCAGGAAGTGCCTTCTCTCGCAGATATCTAGGAGTGCTTCTGCAGCCTCACTGTGCTGCTGCCCAGCATTGCTGTGAGAACTTGTGTGGAAACGCGCCTTAGCAAACGCGGGAATGGATGACCTTCCAAGAAGCTTTGACTGAACGCCTGGGAGCTCCACAGGCAATCTGAGATTCTGTGCGTGCATCCAAGGAGCTCCCACGGGGAGCCTGCGGCTATCCAGCCAACCCCTTCTAACTACTTTTAAGCCCCGGGAGAGTCCAAATTGCCTGACCCATAAAACCCACCTAGAGCCACGTGCTCCGATTCTGACCCTAAAACAGCACCCACAAAAAGATCCACTCAGCAGCATGTCGGGGGACTAAGGCACCGCCCGAGACACGCAGCGCACGCGCGCCTTCAAGGGCGAGCGTTAAGAGCGTAGGCGAAGGGTGGGGAAAGAGATGGTCCCTCGTGGACGCATGCGCATTTTGCCGGAAAACCCTCTGTGTAAGCGTCGCTCTTAGCCAGAGAATCATAGCGTTGAATTATAGTTATATAGTTCCATTTCCACAAGGAACGTACGGGGTGGGGGCAATGTCATGCAAATAGGTGTAAGCAATATAAGGATGGGTGGTGTTATGCACATTGTGCGCCTTCTGCTCCATCAATGGCGGCTTTCAGTTGGGAACCGGAAATTAGTGTTGCGTACCCACTGCTCTATCTCTACCATCATTTTGGCAAGAGTGTGGCCATGTAAGTGAGCTGAGCTTCAGATTTCAGCGTTCCCTTGAGCGCTGGCTGTGTGGATTTGATGTTACAATAGAAATGGTCATTTAACAAGATTTACCCACCCCCACCCCCGTAGCTCGAGATGCGTTTACTGTACTTCACGATTATTTCAGGATATTGATTCTGCAATCCAATGCTCTGGATTGGTTTCAATGGTCTTAGACTGCATAGGATTGATGGTATATTTCACCCATAGGCATCAAGATCATATTAACAATGTTATTAGAGAGTTGCAAAATGTGGACATCATAAAACAACAGTTTATCATAACTCCTGCTAAAACTTCAACAAGAGGATATTACCACTATATTGTAGTTACTGTAAGACGTTACTTTTGTGTACCACAACACAACATGCAGCTCAAGAGTGTTCATAGTGGGCTGTGTTGTAGTAGTAATCCTATTCCTGTTGCATTGTTAATTGGCTATCTTAGGCTGCCTGACTTGTTTTTATATTTTGTTGTTGTTGTTGTTCAGTCGCACAGTCGAGTCCGACTCTTCGCGACCCCATGGACGAGCTCTCTCCAGGCCTTCCGGTCTTCTGCCGTCCTCTGAAGTTGGCTCAACTTCATGTTCGTTGCATCGATGACACTGTCTAACCATCTCATCCTTTGCCGTCCCCGTCTTCTTTGACCTTCAATCTTTCCAAGCATCAGGGTCTTCTCCAGTGAGTGCTCCCTTCTCATTTGGTGGCCAAAGTATTTGAGCTTCAGTTTCATTATCTGGCCTTCCAGGGAACAGTCAGGGTTGATTTCTTTGAGGATTGACTGATTTGTTCTTCTTGCAGTCCAAGGGACTCTCAAGAGTCTCCTCCAGCACCATAGTTCAAAAGAATCTATTCTTCGGCGCTCGGCCTTCCTTATAGTCCAGCTCTCGCAGCCATACATGACTACTGGGAATACCATTGCTTTGACCATGCGGACTTTTGTTGGCAGGGTGATGTCTCTACTTTTTATCATGCTGTTTAGGTTCGCCATCGCTTTCCTCCCAAGGAGCAGGCGTCTTTTAATTTCATGGCTGCAGTCACAGTCTGCGGTGATCTGGGATCCCAGGAACGTGAAGTCTGTCACTACTTCCACAGCTTCCCCTTCTATTTGCCAAGGAGTGATGGGGCCGGATGCCATGATCTTAGTTTTTTTGATGTTGAGCTTCAAGCCCACTTTTGCGCTCTCCTCTTTTACTCTGAGCAAGAGGTTCTTTAGATCCACTTCACTTTCAGCCATTAGAGTGGTATCATCTGCATATCTGAGGTTGTTGATCTTTTCCCCAGCAATCTTAATTCCCGCTTGTGATTCATCCAGGCCAGCATTTCGCATGATGTACTCTGCATATATATTAAATAAGCAAGGTGACAGTATACATCCTTGTCGTACTCCTTTTCCTATGCTGAACCAATCAGTTGTTCCGTATCCGGTTCTAACTGTCGCTTCTTGGCCCTTATACAGGTTTCTCAAGAGACATGTGAGGTGGTCTGGTACTCCCATCTCTTTAAGGACCTGCCATAGTTTGTTGTGATCCACACAGTCAAAGGCTTTAGCATAGTCAATGAAGCAGAAGTAGATATTTTTCTGGTACTCTCTTGCTTTCTCCATAATCCAGCGAATGTTGGCAATATGATCTCTCGTTCCTCTACCTCTTCGAAACCCAGCTTGTACTTCTGGTAGTTCTCTATCCACGTACTGTTGAAGCCTAGCTTGAAGCCTACTGTTGAAGCCTACTGTTGAAGCCTAGCTTGAAGCCTACTGTTGAAGCCTAGATATATTTTGTACTCTGCCTATAAGTCTCAGTGTAAAAGGTGGGCTACAAATGAAGTAAATCAATAAATACATTACAGGGCAGTCATGTCACTTAGCTTAAGTTCCCCATCAAGGCTGAAGTACAAGGATATAGCATAAATATTATCAAATATATCAGAATACATGTATTTATTACAAATTAGATAAAACAATTTTGTGTCTTTTTCTCTTGGTCCAAGGAAAGTATATTCTCATGCAATTTGGAGCCAATAGCAAGTGAAAGTGTCACTTTCTTGCTTCCCATGTTCCACCACTGGGGCCAACTCCAGGTGGACTTGTTTGCCTCCTCTTCGAATGCCAAGTGCCCCCAATTTTGTTCACTGGCTGGGGTGGATACCTACTAAGGGATGTTTTTCAGTTGACATGGCAAGGGACCCAGTTTTATGCCTTCCCCCGATCCCCTTGGCTAGGGAAGGTTCTTTCCAAAATTCAGACGGACAAATTCCACTGCATTCTAATTACACCCTTCTGCCCCTAAAGGTTGTGGTTTCCAACACTGTGGTCCCTGTCCAAAGGCCGCCACATGCCTCTGCCCATGGTGAGAGACCTCCTTCACATAGGGGCCCTCCTTCACCACGATGTCCAGTCCCTAGGCCTGTCAGCCTGGCTGATATGCAACCATTAGTGTGGTCTGACAGGGTGGCACAGGTGCTGTTGTCTTCCGGACGACCCTTGACAAGGACATTTTACGCTGTCAAATGGTGTCGGTTTTCCCTCTGGGCAGCTACCCACAGTTTTTCTGTGCAGGCAAAAATCCCTCCTTCCTTCCCCACTGTGTGTGATCCTTGAGAAGGAGGAGGAGCTTGTGCAGTGAAGGAATTTCACACACAATGAGCAGTGTGGTGGAACGTGCCCGCTCTGGCCTGCAGGCCCCATTTCCACCCTGCCTTCTTGGTTCTTTCTCACACCTGGAGAGGCTTTCTTCCACTCTCAGATAACTCGCCACCATCACCTGACCTTTTGCCGGGGTTACCCACTGGGAGGGTCAGGACTCCCAGCTTCCCTTCCAAGTTCTGAGGCCTTGTCTCTGTGTCTCCTGCTGCCCAGTGTCTGGTCACCATGGGGACAATTTACAGCCTTGTGCACCCTTGAAGGAATGGCCACTTGCCAAGTGTCTGCTTTACCCCTGGTGCCCCTTTTAAAATGGTGTGTCTGAGACACTGGAGGTCTATGTGGTACATAAAACCACTCCCAGCATCTAAAGTTATAAAGTAGTTATTAAAAAGAAAGTTTACAAGCATACTTTTGGCACAGCACCAAACTAAGCAAGTGAATCCAAAAGAAATGAATAAAATGCAAATCCTCTATCCCTTAACTCTATACATGCCCTATCAGATGTTAAAATAGGACTCTTTAACTTAGAAGTTCTAGATCTCCACAGAATCTCCATTATCTTGAAGCTTTCGCCAACTCTTTAGGCAAGCACATGGACAAAACGTCTACCTACTCTAGGAGAGGTCAGTGTGTGGTCATGGACTCTGCACCCAAAGAAAAGAGACTTCCTTCCTGCTGCAAGGAGTTTTTATCATATCTGTTTCCCCTTCCACTGACCTGGCCAGGCCAGGTCAAAGAGGCGTTTTCTGGAGATCTCTGCCCAGAGAATTTTTAAAAAAATGCAAAGTGGAGGTTTTGCTAGTTTCAAACCTCCCAGGAAAAATGAATTTATTCACAGACAGCAAGGGAGAATGAGGAGGAATCTTGCTGAAGAGCAAGGCATCTTCTGGCTGCTGATGGTGAGAGAGGAAGGACAAGAAATCCTTGGTGAGGACATAGCAAGAAACATGAGCCAAAACACAGGGTAAAATCAAGGTTGTGGGGAGCCTTGTGCTGGAGATGGAAGCCAGTGTAGGGATCTGAGAAGCAGCGTTGCATGATAAATGATGTGGGCACTGGGCAGCAGTTTTGAGTAGAACTGAGAAATGTGCTATATTCAAAGTAGAAGATAATGAGAGGATGAGTTGGCATTTTAGCTGGGAAGTGGGCAGACTTGCGCAATGAGTGAGAAAAAATGTGTCAATTGTTATCTTGCCTTTGTCCCATTCCAAAAGACAACCTTATCAGTAAGTAGACTGAAAATGCTCATGGACTTCCTTGGCTGTCCTTTATCTGTCAGAGCAGTCTGAATGGTGAAGTCACAAATTCATGGCGAGACTGATATAACTCAGTTTTCTAACAGTTCAGATCAAAATGTCAGTTCTAGGATCAGACACACTTGTAGGCATGTAGGAATGAAAAGATATGATTGGATTTCCCAGCAGGGCTGCATTCTATCCAGCCACTCATCCCTTCCTACCCTTATGCTGCAGACACACTATAGTCCTATAGCTTTAATGATTACATATAGCACACATTCCAGAGTATGCTAATTGCATATGAAAATCAATCAAGTGAATTAATTTACATGCATTGCATGTTTTTCACAGAAAGGTATTTTAACTGTGATTGTTTGGAAGCTATTGATTTTAATGGTGAAAACAGGAACACTACCCAAACAGGGTACTGTTTTGGTTTTGAGAACTGTACCTTTAACACTAAGGACTTCCAATAATTAAGCGTGCATCCCTTTGCCTTACTGCCCCAAAGTGTTACTAATCAGTAAATTAAATTAAAAATGATGTGTTCTCTGTTCTGCCAGTGTCACCAATTCTGTTCTAGCACAGCCTGACTCATCAGCAATCCAGTGGAAATTTCCATCAGGCAACATTTGCTAAAGCATCATTATAATCTACATCCTTTAGGTGGAGTTTAACAGTGAAGCAGTATTAAGCCTGCTGAGCCCGGTATGGAGAAAAATCAGCCATGTTCTAG